TATGATTCCTTTATTATAACAACACTAATTTAAAAACAGTAACAAGCGCAAGTTGTTGGTTTTCTTTAATGGAAAAGAGAAAAAAAGGGGCTGACTGTTATCACTCTCAAACATAGAAAAAGAGATCGTGCAAAAATAAATACTATTGACAAATCAATTGAGCAAAAAAAAAAGACAGTCTGTGTCAATTTCAAAAACAGTTCGCAATTCGAATGAAAAACATTGCGCAAATTCGAAATGGTTCTCCGCTTCGTGTACGCTTCCATATTAGGTCGGACGGTCTTCAAGGGAAAACGGATTGAATAATTGAGACTCCGGAGATGTTGCTGTCAAACCTTACAGGGCTGTTCTAGTTAGAGAGTTGGTAACGCAATGTATTTGCTTGTCAAATATGCATGAGAGTGATACAACCTTAATTAGCGTAATTAAAATTAATGTTTGTTTTATGCGTTGGACCGACGAGAACCGGGTCCAGGAATTAATTTAATTATTCAGTATTGATACACCTTCTAATGGTTGATGACACCACCCCATGTTGTGCATATGGAGAACCTATCACAGTAAGAACAGATTGCGAAGAAAGAAATAAGATTTACCGAGTGATCTATGCGCTGCAGGCACAGAACGTTGACTCAATATCCCTGGTCTATAAATATTTGTAATTGTATTCACATTCTATGACAAAAAAGAATTGTATGATTCCCTCACTGGGTTTAAAATGCAGAATAAGGAAGGAAATTGCAAGATAAAAAATATTAAAAAACAATTAAAAAAGAGGCAATCGTTTGCAAACAACCAAAGCCGAAAAATTGTCAAAATCCAACCAAAACACAGACAAAAGGACAATACAAAATTTGTAAAACTCAAATTTAACCTAATAAAAAGCAAAATAAGGAAGAAAATTATAAGATAAAAATCAAACAAAATAAATTGGAGGGTTTCCGATTATCATGATCACCAAAAAAGCAAAGCTATGCCAAACTACAAAAGTAGAAGAATTATGGCACATAATCATACTTTTCTATGTTCTTTTATTTGCATTTAACTGTTATTGTAGTATTTCTTTGTTATTTTTATCATTCAGTGCCTTTTTAATGGTTTTTGTTGTTTTTGTGGCTTTCGTTCCTTCATACATATGATACTTGTTATTTATCTGATCGAATTTTTGGCTAATTTCCCAATTACTCAGGGGTAATGTGAATTATTTGTGATGTTGTATGTAATTTATTAGCGTGAATGGCAGAGTTCATCCCCAATTACCCCAAAGAATATCGAGTACGAATCGGTAGTGTGAACAAAGACTGGTGTGTGAATTTTATGTATTAGCGCGAATGGAAAGGCATATCTCCAAACACCTTAAGGAACATCGAGTACTCTGAGGTAGTAGGAATGATTTGTAATGTGTGTATGAAATTTATTAGCGTGAATGGGAAAGTTCATCCCCAACTACCCCGAGGAATATCTAGTACTCTGGGGTAGTGTGAGTGATTTGTGAGGTGTGTATATAATTTATTAGCGTGAATGGCAGAGTTGATCCCCTCACCCCAAAGAATATCGAGTACGAATCGGTAGTGTGAACAAAGACTGGTGTGTGAATTTTATTTATTAGTGTGAATGGAGAGGCATACCCTTAAACACCCCGAGAATCACCCCAAAGAATATCGAGTACGAATCGGTAGTGTGAACAAAGACTGGTGTGTGAATTTTATTTATTAGTGTGAATGGAGAGGCATACCCTTAAACACCCCGAGAAATATCGAGTACTCTGGGGTAGTGTGAGTGATTTGTGATATGGGTATGAAATTTATTAGCGTGAATGGCAGAGTTGATCCCCAATTACCACAAAGAATATTGAGTACGAATCGGTAGTGTGAACAAAGTCTGGTGTGTGAATTTAATTTAGTAGCATGAATGGAGAGGCTTATCCCCAAACACCCCCTAGAATATCATAATATAATTAATTAATAAATTCAGAATATAATTCTGAGGAAGTGTGAATGATTTTTGATGTATGTATGGAATTGGAATTTATTAGCGTGAATGTCGAGGTTATCCCCAATTGCCCCGAGGAATATCGAATACTCTGGAATACTGTGAATGTAATTTATTAGCGTGAATGGATTGATTTATCCACAATTACCCCGAGAAATATCAAATACTCTGGAATACTGTGAATGTAATTTATTAGCGTGAATGGCAGAGTTCATCCCCAATTACCCCAAAGAATATCGAGTACTCTGGTAAAGTGTGACAGTGTCTGGTGTGTGAATTTAATTTATTAGCGTGAATGGAGNTTGATTTATCCACAATTACCCCGAGAAATATCAAATACTCTGGAATACTGTGAATGTAATTTATTAGCGTGAATGGAAGGATTTATCCACAATTGCCCCGAGAAATATCGAGTACTCTGGGGTAGTGTGAATGTATGTGTGAATGTAAGTTATTAGCGTAAATGATAATCTGCTGAATCTTTACAATACACTGCCATTCAAGTCCTCACGCTTCAACTTTACTATAGCAGCTGTGCCAACAATTTCTATCTTTTTTCCAGTACATTGTTCCGCTTTTCCTGTCCGGTTGGGCAATGTAAATCACCCACAGTGAGGTTGCAGAGTAGCAGATGACATAGCACTGTTCTGGGGCTTTTCTTGACTTACATCGAGTTTGGCGCCTGGGATTCAAAAATCCTCCTCCCTGCGACCTATGTAGGTCTATCGTGGAACTGTGGAACCCTTAAAAATTATAGCCATACTTTGCAAAGTGCACTGTGCACTAAGCACTTTCCTCTATGCCTCTTCGCGCGCCGCTTTGGGTGTGAGAATTGCCTTACTGATGTGGATGTACCTTAACCGGTCTAGTGCTTCACATTCACAAAGGATTTGTGCTGTCTCTCTGGTTAGGGATGGTTCGGCATGGGCGGCGGGTGTGTTATCAGAGGCACACAAGGGTTGGGGTACCAGATCATGTCTGCATAGACGGGGGAGAGTGCATAACCATCTGAACGACGGGATAACATAAAATGTTCTAAAATCCAGCCCATGTTATACTGGGAATACATTCGTAGTGGTACGGGGTGACGCCCCTGGCGGAAACTTAGAGAAGAGGCTGTCTTCTATCTGTGACCTTCGCACGAAACTTGCGCATGACCATCGTTATACACACGGCCTCACGAGATACGGCGGATCAGACAACAGCGTATAAGCGTTGAGGACGCTATGATTATGCTGAAAAGTCCCTCGAATGCGTGAATGGTGGATGGGAACGGGTAGTGAATCGGTTGGACGCTATTACCGTAGGCGGTACTCCTCTAGGGGGTGGTTAGCCATTTCACTTTAAACAAAACCGCGGCCGGAGCGGATCCGGTAGTTTCTACGCTAGGGAAGCCCCAATACTCTGGGAAACAGAGTGGCCTTCTCTTCCTAGGGAGTGCTGATGTATTTCGGCTTAGGTAGACCTATGCGCGCGGCATACGGTCTGATGCTTAATGCAGACTCGACCACTCGGAATGGGCAAGCGGGGAACGAGGTTGTCTTGGGCCTTCGGGGCTGACCTGCCACTTCACCAACGCTGCAGCAGTAACACCATTCTGCCGTACGCGTCAGGTGGTCAGCTCTCATCTTGAGAATCAAAACGTCCGAGTATACGGGAAAGCATGTCTCTCTGGTTCCTCCAGACAAAGTCGGCATGTTATGACAGTGGCCGGTATAGTGGCCTATACTTTGGCATACCCTTGCTTTGTGTTTAAAGAGAGGAGTGTTTGGCTTTATTTTATATGTTTGTAAATGTCTCAGGTTGCTTCATACCTGGTACCTTAGTCTGATGTTTTTCTTTCTCAACCCATTTTAGCAGTTCCAACTTAACCACACATTCTGGTGCATGTGGTAGTGGTTCTGGTACCATAGGTGAGAGAGTGCTGTCTCTTTTTTGTCTAGTTGGTTGTTTATTTCATTTCCTTGTATTTTCAGATCGGGAAACCAACTTTAAGGTAACCTTGTTGTGTTTTTCTATAGCCATTAGGCAATTTAGACACCCTCAGAGAAATTCCGAGCTGAAAGCGTTAGCCCTATGTTTCTTTATGGCTGCTTAGCTAACTGAGAGTGTAAATCTGTACAACTTTCATATTTTTTTTTATCAACTCCTGTCCTTGATTTATAAAATTATTTGGGCTAGTACAAGGGGCTTTGCTAAGGTATAGTTCGGCCCTTTTACCCCTACATCTTTGTACCATATTAGGGTTGGGCCTACCTGAAATTTGGGGTCCAAATGTCTGTATTATCTATGATCACTTGGAAGGGGAGTTTGACACTCTCTCAACAAAAATCTACATTTTATTTGCGGATTGGTCCAATTATTTGATTTTTATGAAAACTGGCTACAAATATTTGGAAATCAGTTTGGTTATTACAAAAATAACACTTTTTTTTAGCAAGGGTTCATAACAGCAGAGGTCATATCAACCATCGAAGTGCCGGTGTTTTTTGAAAAAAAAAAGCCCATTTGTAAGTATGTCGAGTTCGAATGCAGGGCCGCTGGATTCGAACCTGGGACCTTTACCTTACAGTGATGAGCGCCGTGTCAACGCCTAAACCGTTGCGGCCACCAACGCCCCCAACAACACTATTAATATGATATTAAGAAAAAAAATATTATTTTTGTATATAACGATAAGGACATAAAAAAAGTATTTTACCCTAAAGTTTCTTAATTTTTTCCTGACTAAATAAAATACAGTCATTTACTTAAAGTGATTTTAAAACATCAATAAGTATATCGTCATGATTCAACGAAACAATCATAGTCTGTATTAAATAAATTCTCCATGATAACAGAACAAAAAGATTCATTTAACTTTAGAAATTTTCAAACATCTGAACTGTTAGAAAAGTAATAAAACGAGAACAAAATAAAATTTCTGTATCACTCTCTTTCAGCTTTTATCGGACTTTTGAAACAATCGGATTTATCGCAAGATCCGGCCGTGGATTTTACACCTTCCTTATCAATGTTCCGCTTTTTCCCTCATTTTACCACGTTCCATTTCTAATATTAATTTGTTTTTCCCCGATGTTTCAGATCTGAACAATGAGGCGTGCGTCGTACGTGTCTGGGGAACCTCTGATCGTCGTCGAGGAGTCAGGGGGCATCCCGGAGGAAGAGGAGGAAGGCGGCACGAGTGACAACCAGGAGTCGCCGACCATCCCGGACTCGCCTTCGTTGAACCCCTATCTTCTCTCGCCGTACAGGGACATGAGGAAAAGATCTCTGCCCACGCCCCAATGTACATCCGGTATCACAGCAAGCCAGGTAAAACAAAAGACACAAAATTAAACTTCTTTCACAAAAAGTGTTTTCTTATCTTCTCCGTCTACTAAATACAACTCTAACATAACAAGTATAACGATAAGTTTAAAAATAAACCAAATGCAACGCTTTCTTATTTATTTTTTGCATATTCAGCCTCATAAAAGTCATAAAAATGAAAATATTTTTACATATCTACGCTTTGAATAACCATGAATGACATTAGACTCGATTTCACTGCTGAATAATTAGCACAGAAAATAAAAGGAAGTGATTTGCATGTTATAATTTTTCAGTGGGCACATTGAATTGCAAAACGTTTTACAGATAACAGGAAAAGCGTATTTTAATAAAGTCAAAAATCTGTGGAATAATTATAGCAATAATTTTTAAGTAAGATATGGGTTGAAATAAAAAAAGTCAGTGTCACGAGCGGGATTCGAACCCACAACCTTCGGCTAGATACGCCGCTGCTCTAGCACTTGAGCTATCGTGACTTCGATCCACTCAGACACCCACTTCTCATCTCAACCCCACCTTTCGAATTTTTCTTCCTGTTTGCAATTTTTCAAATGTGTAATCGATTCTCGGTGACAAATGAAATGTTCATCAGAGTTCGTGGTCTGATTGACCGAATAACGTTTTTCAATTAAGTAATCTTTATATAAGGCATTGGTTGGGATAAAAAAAATGGCAAAAAGAAGGGAAAATTCGGTGGGGTTGAGATGGGAAGTTAGTGTCCGTGTGGATCGAAGATCAAAGGCGAGGGTCGTGGGTTCAAATCCCGCTCGTGTCACTGATTTCTTTATTTCAACCAATACCTTATATAAAGATTAATTAATTCAAAATCACTAATCGGTCAATCGGACCACGAACGTTAATGAAGTTAATTCTACTGTGGAAAATGCATGAAGAAGCAAAACAAGAACATAATGTTTCTGATAGATAACGAGCGCAAGTGAGTGAGAATGATAGTAGAAATATAAAAATAAGTTAAAAAAACATTAAGAATAGTAAATGGTTGAGTATACTTATCATGAAAAAAGTAGTAAGAGATAGAGTGAGAGAGAGAGAGAGAGAGAGAGAGAGAGAGAGCGAGAGCGAAAGAAAGAGAGAGAGAGAAAGAGAGAGATAAAGAGAGAGAGAAATGGAGAGTAAGAGAGGGTAAAAAAGAGAGGGAAAGAGAGAGAGAGAGAGAAGAGAGAGGGGGAAAGACATAGAGATAAAAAGAGAGAGGGGAGGGAGAAATAAAGAAATAGAGAGAGAGAAAGGGAGAAATGGAAAAGATAGGGTGTGTGAGAGGGGGAGAGATAAGGGGTAAAGAGAGAGGGGTGTAAGCGAAAGACAGAGAAGGGGAAAAGAGAGGGACAGAGAAGGGGAAAAGAGAGGGGGTGAAAGAGAGGGACAGAGAAGGGGAAAGAGAGAGGGGGAGAGAGAGAAAGAGAGAAAGAGAGAGAGAGAGAGATGCATTAAGAGCAAAATTAAGTAATAAATTGTAAGTTAAATTTTAATTTATCCCTAAATTATTTTCCGGTTGTTTGGTGAATTTTCTTTCAAAGAATATTATTTACTTCAATTCATTCTTTTTTTTAATTTGTAGCAAATTACAACTACCTTCAAATAGGTAACACGTAAAAATGTAAATATCTACAAAATTAAAATGAAGCGTCATCATCAGCGTGGAACACGCCTCACCGAAGTTGACGCAAAGCCAAAACTCATTTCAATTGTTCAATAAACCATCGAGAGAGGAAGGACCCAATGTCGGTCGAGCGTAATTTTAATGTGCATAAAATAAAAATGCACATTAATTTTTTTATTTTATATCTTATAAATGTAATTATTTTGGCAACAGTTTGATGAGGGTTAATAACAAAGTTTAATAAAATAGTTAAACAGCAATATCACGTTATAAAAAAAAATGAGTTTTTGCGAATTGTGAGAAACGAGAGATATTAAACACAGTAAAGTGGAAGAGAATGTGTCAAAGAAAAAAGCGTGCGAATGTAAAAAGAGATAAAAATAAGAGACAACTTAGGAAGCTACTGTCGGAAAATGGCAGATTTTAATGAAACCTTTTTTGCCGAGGTCGACAAATATTAGTCACGTGTATGCGAATTCTTTCCAATACAGAAAAAGTAATTTACATATTTTTTAAATGTAGATATCTGCCTTAACGGGTCATGTATTTCAAGGTTTATTACACATCAGTCTATTTTTGCCCTGTAGATAAGAAATTAATAAGCACGATCGGATTAAATAAGATAAGATTAATAAAAAGTTACAAAAAGACGCTTTCAGTAAAGTAGGCTAATTTTTTTATTAATATTTTTTTCAAAAATCAATAGGGACACTTCCCCTATAGCTCACTTACGCCATAAAATTTAACAAAGGTCAACCAAACTCATCACCGACCAGTGACAAACTCTAAACTCTGAATTATAATAGATTTCGTGGTCAACCCATGGCAACTACAATACTATCTAATGGCTTCAACCTTACAAGCGATAGAAAGCTCAAATTCAAGCATTTCAGCTAATTCAACAAGTTTAGATTTAAAGTCATAAAAAGAAAACGAAATAAGTCAAAAATTCACTAGTTTTCGTGGTCCGCTTGACCAATTAATATCTTCAATTAATTAAGGCTTTTAGTTGAGATAAAAAAGTCATTGCCGTGAGCGGGATTCGAACCCACGATCTTCGGCTAGATACGCCGCTGTTCTACCACTTGAGCTATCGTGACTCGATCCACTCGGACACTAACTTCCCATCTCAACCCCAACTTTTGAATATTCTCTCCTTTTTACCATTTTTCAAATGTCGTGTAATCTATTTGATTCTCGGCGACAAATGAAATGGCAAAAAGGAGGGAAAATGCAAAAGGTGGTGGGGTTGAGATGGGAAGTTAGTGTCTGAGTAGATCGAGGTCACGCTACCTCAAGTGGTAGAGGGGCGGCGTATTAAGCCGAAGGTCGTGGGTTCGAATCCCTCTCGTGACACTGACTTTTTTATCTCAACTAAAAATCTTAATTAATTTCAAACAAATTTCTTTTAGTAAAATTGGCATAAAATAAGCCCTAGAATCGAGTTGTACAATAAAAATTAATGTCATTTCCTAGCTCTATGAGAAAATTATATGAGTTACCACCACGCGATTCTTAGCCGAAATTAACTTGGGGTTTGTATAAGACCATTTTTTTTGCTATAGTTAATCGTTTCCTAATAAAATGGGGATTCCTCCGTCGGGCATCACTCAAAAATTGTCGATCTTATCAAAATCTTCCTTTCAGTTAAAGTGGCATAAAATAAGCTATAGAATCGAATTGTACAATAATAATAATTACGGGATTTTCATTTAAAATAACAGAGTTAATGTCATTCCCTAGATAGATGAGAAAGTTAAGTTAATTAACTTTGGAATCGATCAGCATTAACAAGTTAATTTAGGATAGAAATCGTCTCAGAATAGGGTAAGTATCAGGGGGTGGCTTTTATGCTTAGCTTATATTAATTTTTGAAAAAAAGGACTCTTTACGCATTTTTAAAATTCAGCAATTGACCACGAGTATATACCAAACTTATTCCAAAATATTAATCAGTAGATGTATCCAGGTTTTTAAATAACGTTCTAGTAGAGTTGAAAAATCAACGTAAAGCATATTAAATGAAGAAGTTTTTGTAAAATTTGGCAAGTTGTAGGTATTTTTTTGTAACCTCAGTAGAACGTGCAATCATGACCAAAATTTTAAATTTTGTGATTTTGACATATTCCAACTGATATTGGCTGACATTTTAAGTCATTCAGATTATTGCAAATAGAAGTATGTTATAGCAAATTTAGCGTTATTTCAAATTGTGTAATTGGATTTGTTGTAGTCTCAACATTTTGGAAGTTGTAAGCGTTTTTATGTGGTAAGGTAGTGAAAAGTTGAACAAAACCTAAATTGATGAATATCTTCAAAATAGAGAACTTTCCGAAAATTTTCTCCTGAGCATTTTTTGCTTCAAACGAAGAGTAGAATCGATTTCCTGAGTTTCGTCAGAAGGAACAGGCACTCCCTGTATAAATAATCAAACGTTCGCCAAATTAATTCGTTACCTCGTATTTTTTGTCGTATGATAAATTATGGAAATTCTAAATATACATTTTTTGCAATATGTTTTATCAATGCAATCATATAACGTTAAAGTACAGAATTAATTTATTAAAGTACAAAAATTAATTTATCAATATTGCTACATACTTTCGTTTCTTCTACCATGATGTATGTAATTTTATATAATTTACTTTAAACATTTTTGATACCATGAAGTATTTTTCTTTTTTGTGTACATCGACTTTTTTATATAAGTTAATAAAATTTATAATAAATATATAGGGTGCATCAACCTCTATAGTCCACCAATTTAATTCGGAAAAGATTAACTTTAGCAAAAAATGGTCTTATACAAACTCCACGTTAATTTAAGCAAGGAATCGCATGGTGGTTACAAATTTAACTTAACTTTCTCAACTGCCTGGGAAATGACACAAACTTTGTTATTTTAAATGAGAATCCCATATTTTTATTGTACAACACGATTCTAGGGCTTATTTTATGCGTGAGGGGGTTATGATTTTTGTAGCGACAAGATGGTTCATTTTGAAAACGATTAGCATTAGCAAATTAATTTAAGATAGAAATCGACTCAGAAAAGGGTAGGAATATTGGGGTTGCTTTTAAGCTTAGCTTATAGTTGTAGTCTCAACATTTTGTAAGTTGTAAGCGTTTTTATGTGGTAAGGTAGTGAAAAGTTGAACAAAACCTAAATTGACGAATATCTTCAAAATAGAGAACTTTCCGAAAATTTTCTCCTGAGTATTTTTTGCTCCAAACGAAGAGTAGAATCGATTCCCTGAGTTTCGTCAGAAGGAACTGGGACACCCTGTAGAGTTCACTAGTTTTCGTGGTCCGCTTTACCAAATCACACCTTTCAATTAATTAATTTTTATTTAAGGTATTG